TTGATTATCTTTCTGTCTTTTTGGTTTGTTTATTAAGATTTCTTAGGTGTCTGGTTAATTTTACTTTCTGTATTGTTTTTTTTTCATAGTGGACTCCCAATTTTAGAGTGTACATTGTCTGAATATTATAAGTTGTTTTCATTTCTTTCTGGTCTTTGGTCCAGCAATTTTCTTGCATGGAAGCATCACAGTTGAAGGTTATTATAGTCATGTTAGTAGGAAGTCTACTGATCGATCGATTTCAGTCAGAGTTGAGCACAAAAACAAGACAAGTATGTCGCTTATTCACTGGTGACCAATTTATGTACATAATCCAGTCAGTCTTACAGGGGATCAGTCTTAGTATAAATCACATTGTGCTGAATTATCTGATTTCATGAATATGTCATTTGGTTTTAAGTCACCGAGATAACCACCAGTCTACTCATGGTTGCAGAGACACTTTGTTAATAGGTGACAAGAAGGGCAACACATACAGACTGACCTCCCCATTTAACAGTAGACTTCACACCGTGAACCGCAGAGTCATGTCACTTCACTGTGAGTGATCACATTGACGATTAAATATTACATCGGTTACCCGCTGATAACCATTTCGTGTATATTATCCAGTTACTCAGCGTGTATCAGTAGTGGTTTGAATAGTCTAGTCGTGAAGTCTTTTGCTTTAATACTGTGTAATACATGTTCCTCATAGATCTACATCCACCTTGTTGAGTGCCGACAAACATCAAACCTAGGTTCAAGGAATCGTATTCCCTCCCAACACCTGACGACGAAACATAGTCCACTACAGTGTGATATCACTTGATTTATTGAGTACATTGCCAACTTGATCGACAGAATGCGATCAGTATTGAGCACTTGGAAGTGGACAAATACATTGATAACCGTACTAGGTACTCATTCATGTACTTCAGTCACACAATTCATCTGTATTATAGCTGAGAAAAAGCCAAAATGATTTCTGTTTCGGACATGTGTACATAACTTAATTTAAGTGTTTTATATTCAACAATAAGTCTCATTTTAAATTCAATGTTAACTGCTCTAATAAGATTATGAGAAAACGAGAGAGAATGTTATAATAGTCAGCTTTACTAATTTGTATCTCAGCTATGCTTACTGTGCCTACCTAATTTACGGTGATTTTATTATTCTAAAAAATCGATAGAACACGAATACCAATAAATGCACCACAACACTACAATGATATACAGAAGTATACAAGAATATAATCGACAGAAGAGATGTAGTCATATTTAGAAAAAACTCTCCTTACTTATTCAAATATTTGTTGAAAGATGAAACACAATAAAACTATAGTATAATCATCATTACTGATTTCTGCTCTTAGTCAAAATCATCTTGACAGTATCAACTAAGTATAGAAGATAGTTTTGAAGAAAACAGTTCATAGATTGATATTTATCAGGGACTGACATCAGTTGATAGGACCATTGCAAACCTAGGAGCACCGGACAGCTGTTTTGTCCCATTGTGGAAGTCGTTAATACTACGCACTCATAACCTCCAGGTTCCATGTCTAGAACGTTTATATTGAGCCACTGGGTCGGTATCCGATAGCTCACACTTCTGTCAGTTCATGATGTACCGCGACCTCCATTCAATGCCATCGTTGAGTAACTGTCCCCAATTAATTAAATCCTCATAAACTTCAAAAAAGTTCTTTCAGCCATTCTAAGAATTAACAAACACCAAAGGATTCTGATACATCATGCCTTAGTCACCGAAAACCATACTTCAAGATGTAACCACTTATTGCATGATGACCGCGACCACTTTGAAACACACGCCGCAGGATCACTTCTAAGTTGCATTGTACCGATATCCATTGAAATTGAACAAAGTTTAGTGACTTATTAGACATCAATAAGAAGTTTGCGTACTGAAGAGAAGTACAGTCTAATGTAAGACTAAGTGTATAAACATAATTCGATTAGTACGCCCTAATACGGTTTTCGTTACACAGCGCATAAATCATTAAAATTAGAGGTGGATAGTGAGTAAGTCATCTCCTTCGAAGCATCTTGCTGTTATCAGCTCGTTATTACAAATCAAAACCTCTGGAATGATTTCAACACTAATGAAAGTGTATAATCGATTTTATATGATACCGTCGTTGCTTGGACCGAATTGATCGGTCTCTATTGTCATATGGGCTCCTGTGCGGATGCCTCGATATTGCCTGCGTTCTAATTGTATTAATGATGGATCGTGGCTAGCAGTGGAATCCAGGATGCGCATTTCGTCCTATTTGGGACTCGTCAGCTGGATGTACCTGCTTCCCAGTGAGTGATGTTGTTAACACCGGGATTCGGACTCGGGCGTGACCGCTTCGAACGCCATGGAGTTATCTAGGTGGGAAAGACATCACTCACTGGGAAGGAGGCACATCCAGCTGACGAGTCCCAAATCGGACGAAATGCGAACAGTGGATTGGGACGTGAGGAACATCGAGGCATCCGCACAGGAGCCCATATGCCAACAGAGACAGATCAATTCGGTCCAAGCAACGACGGCATCATATAAAAACATTTATACTTAAACTATACCCATCGCACAAGAAGTGGCTATCGTGGCTCGGTGGTGTAGTGGATAACGCCCTGGCGTTTGAAGCGACCACTCCTGAGGCCAAATCCCGGTGGAAACAACACTCACTGGGAAGCAGGTACATCCAGCTGACGAGTCCCAGATAGGATGAAACGTGCATCCTGGATCCCACTGCTAGCCACGACCCATCATTAATTTAAAGTGTCTTCCAATATAACTGTTAGGTAATTTTTCTCATTGACATGTTTGATGTGACACATGGTTAAATTTAACCCTCTGTATTGAACACTGTATGGTCATTCATTTGTGCTTCTGGTAGCGGAACGAATCATCAAACATTTACTGATGCCAATGCAATACGAATTTTTTTTTGATAAGTGAAAATAGAATTCATTGAAAATTGAAGAGTTCCCATGAAGTTATATTACTTGAGGACGTTCTAACTGAATATCATGATATATAAGACGATTTCAGGAGTCGAGTTATGTAGTTGACGGTGGGAGAACTACTATGACCGGTAGTACGACCTAACAGTCTACGAGTGATACGAACCTAGCAGACTACGAACAGTATGAACCTAACGTGCAAACGAATCGACTCTAACGCAAATCAGAATGTCAACCACCACCACTACAATACCATCGACGCGTAAAGACAAAAGAAAAGATGGACAGTTGACAGAGAGGATTTTACTGTCTCAATAACAGTCAATACAGTTGACAGTGATGCTGAATATACACATTTCCAAACGACCTTGGCAACACTAACTCACATGTAGTTAACAACCAATGAAATTTCAGCCTCGAAAGCAGAGGAAAGAAAACTAGTAACGGTGTGAAAACAGTCCTGGCAAAACAGCAGGCAAAAGCTATGCAAAATTAGGGGTATACAACAAGAACATGTATCTAAATAGCTTCAAAAACAGATGGAGTGCAAAACTTTGATAAGTGCAGTTGGGAGACGACTCTCTTCATCTATAGCTAAACATATTGAAGAAACGGGTGACAAAATTAATATTCAAAACAGCTTCCAAACTTTTATACAGTCAGGGACGCATACTAAGATTTGTGGGGACGATAGACATACACAAATTGAAGCCACCTTGCTTGGTCAACTTTGTTTTCTCTCTCTCTTTGTTCTCATCTTTCTTAATCTCAATCCCCCATTATTTCAACAAACTCGCTTAGAAACAAGCTTTGTAAGTTAAAAGATTCTATTGATGCAATTAGGCAAAATAATCTAGTTTACCAAATCTCTTGCAATGATTACGAGGTCAAATACATAAGTTAAAGTAGTCGACCAGGGTCGATTAGAATAACAAGGCACAGAAACTTAGCTAAATCAAGATTAGTGATTCTTAATAAGATAAAAAAAATCTAGAGGAAAGATCAGCTACAGCTCTGCCCACAATTACACTCAATAGGGTGGGATACAGTGACAGTATTAAAATTAACTTAGATGGGCAGGGAGGGAGAGACTGATAACCGAATCTTTGTATTATCGAATCAACACCAAATATACATGCAGTAGCAGGAATGATTCTCCACCTGTCTCAGATATTATGGAAAATTCCACTACCCTTGTCATCACGAAGAAGGAGAGAAAATTAGGACTATGTAAACTCTATCTCAAAGTTGTGGAGTTACCTGCTATGAATATGGACAATAAATTATGTCCGAAATGTTATCCAGTAAATGATACCGTTCTATTGTGTGATAAATTGAATAAATCAACATTCTATCACAGTGCTGAAGTTTTACTCCTGGTATTCATTCCCTGTTATCTTAATTTTTATAATTGTCCTCCGACTCTTCGGTTTAACATAAATTAACTTGACAAACGAATACGTGATGATATTGTTTAAAATGTATTGCGCAAATACATCACTTATATAGTTCAGATAAACTTCATCTTCTAATTACACTAATTGGTTCAGACCATAGAAATGAGCAAAAGCTAAATACTAATTCAACATATCGAAAAAAGGAACACACATCAAGCTGCATTTCAACTGACAATTTGATGACCAACAGATTTGCAATCCATCCTATAAGGCGGCTATCGATGCATACCAAAGAAATTTTCAAAAGTATAACGATACAGTTGATAAATTTCGTTTGAAGCCCAACATATTGATCATCTTCCAGTGAATCCAGTGAATCACTATACAGCTATAGTGGAGCTTTGGTACACTGATTTAAGCAGTTGACTTGCAATCAATACCTCATGAGTTCCAACTACGTGCCATCTATTAGGTACCCCTTACACAAAAGATGTGGGGCTCATTGCCTATTGCATGAATGTGTACAATCGAATTCTTAAACATTTCTCGAAGCACCAATTTACATATTTATACAATTTTGAAAAATAAAACTGCTATATATACAAAAGAATTTACAATAACATGAATAGAAGTTAGGCATGTTTCAACGTCGAAGAAAGTTATCATGAAGGTCACCACGCTGACGACTACTTGCTTTACGATGAACACCTTCTTCTATTGTTGTCATGTCAACATGTCGATTTTTTAAATGACCTATAAAAGATGGTCCATAAGATAATTTTGAAGTTAATTCTTTCTCTTCTTCAATTCTCTTCTTTTCATAATGACTAGTTGACCGATTGTTACGTTCTTTTTCATATTCTTTTGCATCAGACATCATTTGAGCTCGTTTAGCTTCTAATTCTTCTCTAGATAACCGTGATCGATCTAATAATGATTTATTATGATCTGATATCTTTGTATAAGGTGCTTTTAAATTTGATCGATTTGATTGATTATTTCGATCATATCTTGAAGAAGATTCTTTATTCAATTTTGAAAAAGTACGTTCTTTTGTAGGGTGATTTTGATCTGATCGTTTATCGTTCATGTTACGTGAACTACTTGAAGGTTGTTGTTCATGTATTCCAGAAGATGTTTCCTTACATTTGTCGACAGATTTTAAAGATTCAGTTTCTTCACCTTCCAAATCATCGGAATGACGAATAATTTTAATGAATTTATTTAACAATTCATCATCTGAACTACTTTCACTCGATTCAGAACACTTGCGTCGATGTTTTCGTTTAGAATGCTTTTTAGTTTTCTGTTTTTCTTTACGTAATTTCTGTTCAGTTAACTAAAGAAAAGATAATATTTAATAACTTTGAATAATTTACAAGTCTTCGAAGTTTTTTGACTTTAGCTGTATTCTTCAGCAGATCCATTCGTTTCTCCGCTTCTCTTTGTCTGAAAGGTTAGGAAAATCAACAATGATATACTTTATCCATCATCCATCCAAATCAACATAGGATCAGGCAATACTGCGTAATGCTCCAAGTTGCCACACCTCATATCAGTACATCAAGTAAAAAAGCAGTGAAGTGGAAAATGAAGAAAAGAAAACTCAGTCAAAAGATATATCAAGTACTAAAAGAGAGAAAGGAAGAATGAGAAAATGGTGAGATTCGGTATAGCATCGTTAAGATGAGGATAATGTGGGTATACATCTGTGCCACTGACATCGGTTCTGAGATATACCACCACCTAGGGTCAGTCTCCAATCACTGGTTTCTCTTGTCTCGCAGACCTCAACCGGCTAGTCTGCATCATCGCACATGGCTCAAACCAACAGTCAAACACTTCATACATTGATTTGATCCCATGTTTTAGTCTGGCCACCCACAGCCTTTTTCCAGCCTGAACATACTTCCGCAAACATTGTGTGGTGAGGCGAGGCAATCGGTGACTAGGCATACACGTAACACATGGCCCAGACAACCATCTCACTCCATGAACGTTCACAACAGCATCATCAACTGACTTACCTCTTCTCCCTAAAACTCTACACCTGACTTCTGTGTTGCTCACGTAGTGACACCACGGAATACGTCGTATACTATGAAAGCAACGGTGATCAAACACTTGAAGCCTTCTTCTATCTTCGACTTTCAATGGTCATGTTTCACAGTAGAACACACCGGACTGCTGTGCAGTGCACGCGACTCTAAATAGACAACCGGATATCACGGAGGCTCCGCAGGTGGCGTAAGTTGGCAAAAGACAGCCGAGCCTTTTGTATTCGTAAAGAGATTTCATCGGCCACTGGCCCATCAGTGCAGGGCTGATCCTACTTTTCAGGTAAGTGAAGTGGTCAACACACTCAATCACTACACTCTCTATTGTTAGCTGAGGCACCATTGAAGACCAATCCTGGAACAACAATTTCAATCTAGGTGGTGAGAAACCCATCCCAAACATAAAATACTCAGATCAAATTAAATTCTTACTTCATAATCGTTAAAGGATCCTCACGAAATTTAGCTTCCATATCAAATCTAGCAAGTCGTTGAGCAGGAGACTCTTCATAATCTAGAAATGAAAATTAATTGATAATCAGAGCAATAGGTGATTTCTTTTCGCTCTATCCATACCTTTGCCAATTTCTTGTATTTCATTTACACTTTTCACTTCTTTCCCTAATAGAAAAACTTCTGGATTTTCTTTCGGTTTTTCATACATCCATGCATTATCCTTTACACTATTTATTTAATTCAATGGTAGAAAAAGTAATCCTACTTTTTCTCTGCTAAAAGAGTTGCAATTTTCATACGTTCATCAGGGACCTAAAATATATATGGAAGAGAAATCAGTTATACAACGGTAGGATGTTTTTTGTAATCATTGACTAATATTGTAGTGGGGGTTGTTGATAAGAATGAATATAAGTAGTATATGTTGAGAGGGCGGCAGAAATCATAGGGAATTACCAGCAATGGGTAAGGATTCTGCCAAGAGAAAAGCAAGAAACACTTTAGGTGTATTCAGATCAGATCAAGACAGAATCAGAAGAGGAAATGAAGCATATTTTGCAAATGATGGTTTTAGTGCAAGGTGTATCATATTAACGGCTACTGTCCCACGTTTTGCCAATAAACGTTCCTTTCTGCATACCTGTCGTTTTGCTTCTTTCAATATAAGCTAGAAATAGATCAGAGTTCAATTTCAGTTTATACATGTTCAACGGAGTATGATTCCGATCTTAGATAAGCTTAAACTTGTGACTGAGAGAATTTAAGATGAGCACATTATCCTATTCAGTCGGTGGGTTGAATTTCAACATTATCATATTTGATATATTGGTTTTAACAATTTTCTGATTCATTGACCTACCGTATATTTTAGATTTCTAGAGGCTATTCAATCTCTCATGGCATCGTGGGTGCGCACTGCTGAGGAGTCCTATGAAAGTACAAAACAGCTATCCAATGATCTCAGGACCTTAATTGTATTCATTTTTTGAACAGCATGGCGGCATTATATATATATATATATATATATATATATATATATATATATATATATATATATGACTGTGTCCTAGGGTTGGACCACAACAATTGTGGGAACTAGCAATCATACCTACTCGATAGGTTGGGTTGGATGTTCACATCCGTGAAGCGTTTGGTTGAAAATACAAGTTGGCTATTCATGGGAAATCAATACAGCTAACTAGTCCTTAGTACTTAGTACTGAATAAGGTCTATCGATCATGTTTGAAATGTGCCAGTGAGTCAAACGGTACGACACTACAGCGTGCTATACTTTGATGTTGGAAGTCGGTTGGAAGGAAGCCTTGTCCAATTTACGACTGATATCTGTTGGAGGGGACAATGTGCTCGAACCATTAATCCGTGATTAACTGAAAACTCTGTTTAGCACTATCTCGAAATACCCTGATATCTCCGAGGATGGGTTGGTCCCAGTCATCCTTTCAAAATGCTCTCACATAGTCATATATTTATAGCCTCTTCAAGGAGAGTGTTACGTACTACCTGCACTTGGCAAGGCACGTCTTCACAAAAGTAAGAGGGTGCAAACAAATGTTTGACGACATTACTAGACTGGGGTACACAAAGAGTACATGTAGCTGAGTCAATAAACTCTGATTCCTACCCAGTGGTGCATATTGGTTCAGTGGTTCGGTACGCTGAAATGGCGTAAGAACCTATCCCGGTCACCGGCAACCATAAGAATGTAGAATATCACTCAGCTCCGCGAACTTGTGAATTCGACTTTCAGCTTGGGAGATAGTTCCCTAAGACAATCGTCTGTCCCTATGTGTGTCCATTTCTTGATCTGTATTCTTGTTTGATTCAGCTCCTCGTCGCTGACTGAAATTACATTCTGTCTGCACTGTCTTAACCTGCCAAACAGTCGCTTCTATAAATCTGTCTTTTAATGCGATATGATACGACTATTCTGAAGCCGAATACGCTGCTTAAGTTGGTCCCCTTCAATGTTCAAACCTCGATACAGACTACCCAACAAACTCTGAAAAGCCTCCCTATCTATGTGTGCTGCATCTTAAATATTTAGTCAAGTAAAAGATAATGGTGTAGTGATCCAAATAATTTCTCCATCTATGAGCTCGAAAACCGCATTCACCGCTCACTTGTGCAACAAACCTGTGGAATCAGCAACCAGTGTTGCTGCTGTTGCGCTCATACCAAGTGTCAGAGCAAATGCTGCACTGGTCTACAGGATCATGATGAAAATTCATCTGCGTGTTGAAGAATCAAATAGAAAGGAAGTAACTGGCAAAGGAAACGATATCTTTTTATTCTTTTTGCCTATTTTCCAACTGACATCATACCGGGCGCAGTAAGGGTGAGCTTTATGCCATCAATTGAGTGACGTTCATTGCTTGACAAGCTGTGTATCGTAATATTAGCTGGGGGCTTGAATGCACAGTTCTGGTGTCTAGATTACGAAGACGGCCGCTTAGATAGTTAAACGGGATTATCCACTCGCAGGTCAGATAATGGACAGCAACTTATCCAGTTCCACACAGTTCACAGCCTATTTTTAGGTAGCACCAACTTCCTGCACAGTCATCGTTGTTGTGCTACCTATCCTTCTTCTATCTATCAGACCCGGGTCGAAAAGATCGCATCGCAATCGATGGTGTGGGTGTATTCAGGATTCCCACTCATTCTACAGCACCTCTTTGAAGTCTCACAGCTTACTGCATCCTAAGCTCATTTTATGTTTCAATGGTTAAGAAAATCGTGGTCTATAACGGTTGAACGTTAGCGAATTGATTGCTCCTAGTATCGCCCAAAGAAATGGAAGTCTTAAAGGTGGTAGTGCAATCGCTCAACCGCCATAAACCGCATGACATTTGCAAAAAACCCATCTGATTTTCACCTGTTTCCGTCAACCTTAGGTGAAGAAGCAAACGATAACTAGGTATGCATAATACATGTTCCAGTCACCTGGGTCCATAAAGATTCACAACCTCATCAGCTGACTTCACTCTTCTATGCAAAACTCTACGCCTGCCTTCCACATTACTAATGTTGTGTCAGAACGACATACGACCTATGGAACGGAGGCAACATTGGTCGAACACCTGAAACCTGATGTACTTTGCCTTTGATCCTTATGTTTTACATCCATATAATGGGACGGAGTCGACTGCAATCAAGTACACTAGACTCTTAGTAGGCAGTCAAGTATCAAGACGGCGCCATAAGTGGCGGAAGTTGGTAAGGGTCAGGTGAGCCTTTTGTATTCGAGCAGATATTTCATCAATCACTGACTCACCTTCCAAGGTAAATGAAGCCAACAGAGCACTCAACCCCGCGACTCCCTACTGTTAAATGACGAACCAATACAGACCAGTCCTGAAGCAACAGTTTGCATTCGAGATGTGGGAAATGAAACTCAAACATTCTCCAATCGCTACTCAAGGTGTCCAGAAGACTGTGAATCTCGTCAACATGTTCGCTTAGCATATGTATATTCTAGGTATACGAGGAAATGTTCTGTGACAAGGTCAATGTCTGTAAAATCAGATGAGGGAAGGGATACCTCTGTAAGAATGTGAGGAAATTAAGCAAGAATGGAGGGAGTGGATATCATCGACGAACACCATTCGAAGTAAACTACTCACCATAGGCCCTAACATGCCCAGCGATGTTCGAAGAGGGAGCATTCAACAGGATGATGAACCGCCCTAGTCCCCATTTCCCTGAAGGACACCACCATATTAACTTTCGATAGACAAAGTCAGATACCACTTTCAAGCCAAGAAACACAGTGGTGTCAGGTGTTGGTAAGTGTCCTGGTGTAACAGACTCAGGTGGAGGGTGAATATCTCCTGGATTCAATCACGATGAAGTTTGAAACATGCTTAGTTGTATCAAGTTCTCTGCAACCGCGATTTGCTTAGACGTCTCCAAAGAAAGATGCCACTTAGACGTGGTGGTATCATAATAACCCAAAGAGCTCCATCGGCTAGAACACTTGTTCACTTTAAGTCCTACCATGCCAACAAATTCAATTGAATAGTGGAGATAGAAAATCAGTTACTGTTATAGTGTAAATAAAGACTCAATGATAGGAGTCCGAGGGCGATGCCGTACTGCTGGGTAGATAGGATGTGACAACAGTAAAGTGTTTTTTCAGCAGCAGTACAATACTGATCGTGTCTTTACTACAGGGAGGGTCAGAAAATGTTGGCACCAAAAACAGCACTCTCCTCCCTGCTCTGTTGTCTTCAGGAGCCTATGCCATGGGTTTGTCTTATCAGGTGTTAGAAAAACCGAATCCAACCCCGAAAATCCTAATAAGGCTGGGTATAACGAGTCTCGAACGGATGTCCTATGGGCTGTGCGGTCACACAAATTCTTCCCTTCTTTTCTTGCAGGTGCCTTGAAAAGAAATAGCCTTTTAACCTGTGAGCAGTGGGGAAGTGTCAACCGTCCACACGCTTCCAGTAGTATTCAGGACCCAATCAAACATTATATATACCCTCCTCAAATCTGTCTCCTCCCTTGCCTTCATCTTCTGGCACTAATATTAAATCTCTCACAAATCTCTTAACCACTCACTCTGTGACCATTGCCAACAATTTAAACCAGAAAAACACCATTCCTAGCCTCCTAAGAGCACACCATCGATTTCAAATTGGGGCTTCCAACGTCGGACTCTATGCCAAGTCGGACAGCAGGCATCACTCGTCAGAACTCTGAAATCTCGAGCCATGGCTATATGCTGCATTTCTGAGACACGTATGCTGCAACGTAGTGTGGCCACTCACTTGATCTCATCTATCCAATGAGGCGAATCTTCAAAATTCAACTTACAAATATCCAGAGCTTCAACGACTGACTCTCTTGAACTTGCTGGTGTAGACACTTAGTTCTGTAATAGAAAGCGCACATTTCGACTGAATACCAGTCAAAAGTCGTCTGCATGCTAACCAACTGAAGAGACCTGTAAGAACTAGGAATGTTTGAGAGGCTAACTGATGCCTACTCATAACCCTTGACTACGCGACCACCAAATTCAGTTCAGATGATGCAAACCATGAATTTTACCAGCTGTTGTCCTTGCTAAATAAAGCAAAGCGTTTTGACGTAATTTTAGTAGCAGGCCTTTTCAACGTTCAAGAAGGAAACCTGAGCCAGTTGGGAAGACATCTTGGAAGCATATATGGAATCCCATGTCAATGAACCGACAACGGTGATTATTTGTTACAATTTTGTTCTGACAATCATATGCTTTTGGCTAGCATTAACTTTAAGCATACGGAGATAGTTTCTCGCCTGACTTCCGATGACGTGAAAAAAACGATGAACACACATAGATCCTATCGCTATAACCCATCATTGGAGAAGATTACTGGACGAATGCTATTGTCTATGTAGTATCTGTTTGGATTGTAATCAGATGTTAGTACAGGTATTTTTGAATGTGTGCCCCGTACCAGTCACAGAAAATAGTTTAGCCTGCGCTTATCTGATTGGAAGATTAGAACACCAAGTACTTAGGTTGACAGGTACACATTTATAAGAAAGTGACAGCAATGCACATTCTGAGGAAACCTGGCGTATTATTAGGTCCGCTGTAGAAACACAGTCGGTAACTTGCATCCAATATTCTAGTAAACACAGATGGATTTTCGCAACCTCGTTCGAACTAGCTGATGTAAGAAGACGTAAACTAACTAGTTTTTGCAGTAACTGCGAGCAGTGGTGGGTTGTGAAAGCAACAGACAAGGAGAACGTATCAGCACTAGGTGATGCTAAGCAGTTATTTAGGCTTACTACGAACAATATCAAGAAGACTATGTTCAGTGAGAATATCACTAAGAAAAATGCCAACCAGATAGTATTTCACGACAGACAGCTACAATGCCAGCCGAAGCACTCAGAAGCACAATCCAACTGGCCCACACCAATGTCTCAGTTGCCCAGCATCCAGCCTGAGCCTGAATATCGGTCGTCTTAATCTCCTCAAAGTTGAGAAGACTGTTTATGACCTGAAACGATGAAAAACATCTAGACCTGACGGTTTGCTACCCGAAGATTTCAAGGATGGAGGTAAAAACTTAATGAGTAGAGTTAAGGCTATACTAGGCAGTGTATGGAAATCATAGGTAGTCACATCAAGCGAGTCCACTTCACTGATCACTTAGTCTATAAAAGAGGACAGAACCCTACCTGTAACAATTGCAGGGGAACCAGGTTTCACACCTGGACGAGGGTGCATCGATCAGATTTTCACCCTTATGATAGACAAAAAAGGCATACTTGACGGCGACCAACACTGGATGTATTTATTGACCTGAAGGTGGTATTCAGCCTTGTCGGTATATAGGTGTTGTAGCAGTGTCTGAGTGTGAAACGAGTACTAAGTAACTATGTAACGCTAATCAAAGCTCTATGCACAAACTCAGTCTTGTAAGGGATTATTGAGTCATCTGAACTGACGACAACCAGTGATGTCAGTCAAAAATTCGCTTTTACCATTCCAGTTTAACTTTTTTATGGGTATCCTGGAGTATACAATATATAACCCTAAGTGCATCAGCCCGAACGGGCTGGTTGCTGACAAAATCTCAGGTCGAATACAGAAGTCCTGTTTGGCACCTTTGGCGCCGACTTGGAAATGCACTGCGCATGCCAATTCCCCGCTAACTCGACGTGCAGTGCTGAAAAATGTTGAATTATGCTGGAAGAAGACTCAGAGTGGCTAGATACAGATATGCCAATAATCCGTTAAATCTCCGACTTTTGGTCAGGACCGCGTAGAGTCCACGAGACGATATGAATCAATGGTTAGAAACCCTTCGTGATGTGGCTGAATATATATATATATATATATATATATATATATATATATATATATACATATGTATTAAAACACAATTCTATCATGTTCTTAGTTAGTACTAAGTTCACATATATTTGTTGTTACATTGCAAAGAAAACAAAATGACTTACAAGATCCTTTAAATTCATATTTCACGCAAAATAAAATATATTATTCTTTTCAAATTTGCAATTGTATCAGAGTAGAATATCTAAGTAAGAAATACAATGAAGTGAATAGTTAGTAAAGATTATTTTTCATGAAAGTTGATGGCATTAAAGCATTTTATCGAAAAACGTTCCAAGTTCGAATCCTCTCCTCATTATTTTTTTATAGGTAACCGGATGATGTTGTTACTTTTCGCACATTAGATGTGGCTAAGTTGCTGTAACAGCATTAATTACAGGAGGACGTTTCGAAAGGAATTTATCCTTCATATTTGTACCCTTAAAAAGCAACTTAGTCAAACACACTTTGGTTTCTTATTATAAAAATATAGGGACCACCCCGGTTTAAGGTATGTATGAGAATAGGACCTGACTGACGGTTGTTACCTTGAAGTGATGGTCGAGCCTGCATATAAGAATAAACCAACTAGTTATGCTGATGCCACTATTTGTTCTCTGATGTCCTACCATGTTTGTTGGATAGTGGTAAGACAAAACCAGTTATCGTCATAATGTTAATAGTTATGTGTGGCTGAGGACGAAGCCGTACTGCTTGCAAGATGCAGGACGACAGCGGCAATCTCACTCATAGATGATTAACAGTACCATGCTGATACTACCTACGCGTAAGGGGAAAAGGGGAACAGAAGGTAGGCCAGAACAATTAAAGACTCCTCCTCACTCCACGGTTTTCCAGTGCCAGCAGAATGGGTTTTCCTAGTCCTGTGTGGGGCGAAAACAATGTTTCCAATCCAACAATCTTTAGAAGTCAGTGTGTGACCGGGCTCAGGCAGATAGTCCAAGAGCGTTGAGGCACAGCAAAACTAACTCCTTTCTTCTATCAGATACCATGCAGAAAAAAACTTTCACGGTGTGCGCGGCCATAAAATACCAACTAATCGCATGCATTCAGAAGCATGAAAACCCAGTTAACTATCGCCTACCTTCCTTACCTCTATCTCCTTCCTTCCTTTCACTATCTGGTATCACTATTAAACCTCTTAAAACTTCGCAAACCTTTTTCCCTGAGACCACTGTTAACTATTTGAACCAGTAAAACATTACTTCTAGTTCCCCAAAACAACGCTTGTAATAACTTACTGGGGATTTCAAAGTCCAAACCCTAAGTAAAATCACACAACAGACTTCTTTTCACAAAACTGCACAGACTGGAGTGGTAGGAATAGGTTGTGTTCCTCATAAGAATACAGGATATGACAGTGGCTACTCACTTGATCTCACTCAATCACTGTATTGAATATGAGTAGATCAGTTTGCCAGTGGTCATAGAATCAATGACTAGTTTTCATCCACCCACTGAAGTGCCCAAAGTAGTAGGTTAAAACGCAAAGATAACAGATTACTATTGGATACACACATAAAAATCGGCATAGAACATCATACACAAGTGCAACGGTTCAAGCTTCCATATTTCACAGTACCGTGCAATAAACGAGTGAATAGAAAAGATTGATATCAAAGTATACAAAAGTTTATGGGAGGAGGAATTTAACAAACAATGTGAGTGAAAATGTTGAAGCTTTAAAAGACATCAGAGCGCGAATGCATCAGCCCCAGGGTGACCGACTTTCAGCTATGTCACCAGAAGTTTCCAACCACTGATTCTTACGGACCTGAAGCTTCAGCGAGCCTGCCTACACCTCCAGACGGCTCAGGCCAGCAGTCATAGACTTCATAGACTGGTATCACATGTTGGTCTAGCTACTCTCAGCCCTCTTCCAACAAAATCCGACTTCTAGCAACCCACTTAGAGACAGGCAGTGCCTGAGCATAAGTAAAACAAGTTCAAACCACCTCAGTCGATAAAGGTTAACAGTCCCATTAACTGACTTCCCTTTCTTCCCCAGAACCCTTTGCTTGACATCTACATCGCTTACATGGTAATTCCACCAAATGCAAGCAATGCTACGAAGATATCTGTGACCAAAAACTTGTAACCGCTCCCTATCTACTTTTAACGGCCACGTGTCACAGACGTGTAACAGGACAGAACGAACTGCAGCGCAGTATGCTCACTCTTTTTTAAGTAGTCGGATACCTGGTCAGCCGATGAAAGATATGATGAGAAATAAGCAACGCAGTTGCAGAGCAGTCCTGGAGCATCATCAAGCATTTCAAAGGTGCAAAATGCATGCTGATGATCTTCATATTTCTGCCCAAGGTATACAGAAGACTCAGCATTCAGTCAGAATCCTCACCTAGCAGGACAATATTGTCTGCATACTCCAAGTCAATCAGATGACTACCATGAAGATTAATTCCTGTGAAGTGAAACGAACTTACGGTTGTGCATTGCTACTTCTATAATGGAGTTGAACAGGAACGATGACTGCGGATATTCCTGGTTGACTAACTAGCCGTAACCAATTCAGACGACAACTTTCCACAAGCCATCATACGGCTGCGTGAGATCCAGTACGGAGACAAGGTGATGATCACTACATATTATTACGATCGTTTGTCCCCTGGGTTCCAAGTGGAACATACGGCGTCACTAGCACGCCTCCATTCCACTCCGTTCTCTGCAGTCTTTTCAACCTGGCGCCACGACTGTCCACAAGCTTTCATTTCTTCATCACACGATTTCCTCTATGTCACCCTCAGCTGGGACGACCAACCCATCGTTCCCCCTCTGGATTTCACTTGAGAGCCTGGAGCGTGATATCTTCGAACGGTTTTCTCATGGTATGCCCAATCCATCACCACTTTCCTCTGCATATTTGTTGGGCGATAGGTTCTTGGTTAGTTCGCTCCCAGCGTTCCTTGTTGCTTATTGCTTCAGGCCATCTGATCTTCAGTATCGAGTGAGCGAGCATAGGCAGCAGCTTTTGATGAGTGACGTCTACAGTTTGTTGGAAATGCCTCTCGTAACGCGACAAGTTTCTGAACCATAAAGCAGCACTGATTTGACACTAGTGTTGAAAACCCAGATCTTGTACTTTATGCTGAGTGTAGTAGATTTCTACACCGGTTTCAGATTGATGAGGGCCCGTCTTGCTGTCTTTCCGATCCTGGCTAGCTTTGACGTCCTCATCTGTGCCTGTGTTGCCTGCAGTTGAAACGATGCTGCCTGCCAAGGTAGGTGAAAGAGACTACTTCCTTTGGGTCTCTCCCGTTAATGGTGATCGGTAATTGTTGTTGATACTGTTGTTGGCTAGGTATCTTCCTCACTTCCGCCTTCCCTACGTTCATTCGAAGTCCTGTCTTCGCTGTTTCTTCTGTCAACTTGTTAGTTTTCGCCTGTACGTCTTCGAGCTTGTGCCACACTAGACATAAATCATCACCAGCGAAATCCAAATCTTCCAGGATCTTTTCATCCGTCTTGAATCTCATCACGGTTTGGCGCATGATACAGCCCACCACAATCAGGAAGATCATCGATGATAGTAGGCAGCCTTGTCTTACTCCTTCCCGTCTTCACTTTAGTTCAAAGGGGTCACTGAACTTTCCATTGTGAATCACCTGGCATGCAGTATCAGGCAGCACATAGCTGTTGAACGAGGTTGACAAGGGTTTGTGGCACTAAAACCGTAGGGTTGAAGCAGCCGCCTGCCAAATTACTTCTGTCACTGTCAACGCTGTCGAAGTCTCCTTCAAAGTCGATGAAGTTGTGGTAGAAAGCCGGCTGCCATTCTACGCTCTGTTCCATGATGATGCGTAGCGTTGCAATTTGGTCCGCACACGATTTGTTCCTCTTGAAACCAGCCAGCCTGTCCCGGTCGTAATTTTGAATCGAGCGCATCCTTTAGTCTCTCCAAGATGATGCGGCTTAATATTTTGCTTGGAGCGGACAGCAGCATGATTCCTTGCCAGTTCTTGCAAAGAATTAGGTCTCCCTTCTTTGGGAGTTTGATGAGGTAGCTCTGCTTCCAATCAATGGCCAGGTACCTTTACTTCCATCCTTGTAAACCTTCTGCAATAGTCATGTGAGCATGTCCGCTGTTGTCCCTGAGTCTGTTTTCAGTGCTTCTGGTGGAATTCCTTCTGGTCCGGCTTTCAGTAACTTCATGGCAATCAGGACGTCCGCTTTTTTCGGAGGGCCTGTGTTCACTAGTAGTTCTGTGGCTGGGCTGCTAGTGGTATTTCTGGACGAGTTGCAGATGGTGGTGGTGGTCGACTCCATGGTTCCTCGAAGTGGTCCGCCCATCGTCTCCTTTCCTTCTCCTCTTTGATAACTAGCTTTCCTTCACTATCTTGCATTGACTTCATCTGCGTTGGTCTCTTCCATCCCAGATAGTAACCTAGTTAGTTGATACAGTGTTGTCAGGTCTCTGTCTCTCCTACCTGCAGCTTGTCTGTTCTGCTTCACTTGCCAGTATGTCGTAGAAGTGTCTTTTGTCTTTGAGCGCACTCTTCTTCATTTCTCTGTCCAGTGTTGTGTTTGATAGGTTGTGTTCAGTTCATCTTTTCCTTGTTCATCCCTGCCTGCGTTGCACTGTACTAGTTCATCTTCTGCTTCACCATCTTCCTCTCCCTCCTCTATCAGCTTCCATGTGGAGATCCGTGAAGATCCATTCCTTGTCTTGCTTCTTCTTCCTTCCTAACACGGTTACACAGGTTTCTTTACACGTTTCTTTCAGAGAGTCCCAGTGTTCTTTCACACAGGTTTCTTCAGGGATGTTGCTCAATATCTCCCATTTTGTTTTGATGGCTGATTGATGTGAAGATGTCTTTAGTAGTTCCGTCCTTCACTTTCTGTTCTCGGTGTTTAACTTGAACTGTGGTCTATCACCAACTCCTTTGAATGCTTTCAACTTGATTTCGAAGGCAGGTTCTTTTCACTAGATAATGAGTGATGTGAACCTACCTCCATCTGCTCCCCTTCTTCATCTGATCTTGTAGGCCGATCCAGTAGACTGCATCTCCACTTCCTTCACATTGAGATGAAGTCGATCTGATTTTTAGCGTAGTGTGTCAATCTGGTGAAATGAAATCCATGTCGCTCGCTTTGTGAATATCCT